GCGCCGCCCCTGCGAAAAAGCACCTATCCGATACGGAATGTACAACTTTCAGAAGCTGAGCGAAACAACATCTCTCCGTTGCAATAATTCCTCTGAAAATAGTGTTCCTAAAAGGTACGGATAGGTGTTTTTTCACGTCGCTATGGTATGCTAGCTATCCGGGACAAGTGTAAACGTATAGCGTATAATTATAGCTATTCCTTAGACTTAAGACTCTTTCTTAACGTATGTGTAAAAAAACTGAAAATATTCTTCGTCAATCCACACTTTCTAAAATATTTCTCAGATCCATATAGTTTCGCGCAGGGATGGATCCAGTATGATCTGGTGGGGGGGTGGGGAGGGGGGGGGTGCTCTACCAGCTCTGGTGCCGAGTTGTGTCGGTCATGTGTGCTGCCCGCCCATCAACTTGCTTCACTACTGCAAGTCTTGCCCGACTACTGTATTTGAATTGTAATTGTTGTTCACAGTTTGCTTATCATCATGTTATTACTCAAATTACTGTATCTCATTTTGTCTCTAATAATTTTTTGCTTTATCATGAAAAATAGCCCCCCCCTGTACCCCCTCTGGCCAGGGCTAGGAGGTGCCCCCCCCTCCAGTAAATCCATCCCTGGTTTCGCGTTTCTGGAATTCTTGTCAAACAAACCTCAGGCCTGTTTTATACGTCGAATTTTGGTTGCGTCGAATGCAATTAAGACAATAGATAATGAGATGATAAACCTCATTAATAAGGTTCGTTATTATCTATTGTTTCAATTGCATTCGACGCGACCGAAATTCGCGTCGAATGCAATTCAAACATATACTACACTGATGAGGCCCATAAGGCCGAAACGGTACCGTCTGTAGTTATATATATATAGAGAGAAACGTCTGACAAAATGTACGATGATTTTGAGTTTGCATGGTTCGGACATATATGTATTGTGATGTTTGATGACTTCGAGTTTAGTTTGACTTGGAAATATAAATATGAATGTAGACACAAATTAATATCAGCACAATTTAAAAAAGTCAAACTGAAGCTCATAATTTAATGCCCATATCGCAGGAAATGGCATTTCTAGGGTTCTAATTTTCAAAATTTGGTATCGGCAAATTGAGGGACGCAAAAGCATTTACAAACGTACTAGTCCGGAAATTTTTTTCCCTAAAAATTTGTCGACGGGGGGGGGGGAGGGGAGTTGCTGTATGGAAAATTTTTTATAGGGGGCCCTGACCAGCAACCCCCTAGAAAAGCCTTGCTGGATCCCGCCCTGACGTTGAAAATTCCGCACTTGATTACACATTTCCAGTTCATTTTTCGTACATTACTCTGATTCTCCATTTAACAGTTTTCGTACATTACTCTGATTCTCCATTTAACATACGAGTCTCTAGTTCTGAACTAGGGTACATTTTGATTTACGTTGGACAAACTCACAGTTAGGTCGGACACTAATTCCCTCGGGTCGGAGAAATAAACTTCACGGCTTCACTTAGGTTGGACAGAATGTCCAGTGGTTTCCTCGCTTCGTTGGACAAGTTCACGAATGGGTCGGACAATGTCCCTTGACTGACCGACCGATATTTTAAGACATGTTAATTTTCAAACGAATTTAGCACTTATTACTTTAACCAACCCATCATATTCTGTAAATAGAATTTAAATTACCAGCTAGCTCAGCAGGATCCATGCGATGATGTAAATATTTGCGTGTCATCAGCATGTACAAATAGGGTATTGATACACCTCGAATTAAACCACGAGAGTAAGCAAAGCGAGAGTTTGCACGAGAGTTTTCTTAACTCTCATGACTCGGTCAAACGAGAACAAGAGTTGCATTAGCTTGCATTAGAGTTGACGAGAGTTGACGGGATACTACTGGCTGCGCGTATAGCCAAAACTCTCATTAATTCTCATCAAAATTTGTTGCGTGAGAGTTAATAAAAACTTCATTAATAAAATCCCTGCCCCGTTGGTTTCAAGGAGTTAACTCCAAGTAGAGTTATTTTGAACCAAATTTAACTTCAATTGTTTATCTCCCTGGTCAAAGGTATATGAGAGTTGATGAGAGTTGAGAAGCGAGAGTTTTCTCAACTCTCGTGCCTTGGTCAAACGAGAACAAGATTTGCAGGAGAGTTGACTGGACGGATATTACCGCGCGCGTAGCAGAAACTCTCATAAACTCACATTAAAATTTGACCCAGCTCAAAGTTGATGAGAGTCGTGAGCTAGAGTTGCAACTCGCTTCAACTCTCAATGCGTTTGCCCGAGGCTTAAAGATAATATCACAACTTACCCTTATGGTCTGCACTCAACTGAACGCGTTGCAGAATTGTGGCCAGACTTCTCTAATAAGAGCTATACGCGGTTTATTCCGTTCACTAACTTTCACTTTACAATTGCTATAGATTGAAAAAAACAAGAGCGAAGAATGAAGAAATTACATGTCGCCATGAAGAAGACCTCAGTCTGTTGGACTTTTAGCGGTTGGTTGGCACCTGTTTGTTGCCAAGGTTACGCTATCAAACTTTTGTAGTTAGAAAAACAAATATGGCACGTTTTATCAAAACTTACATGAAACAACCAACAAGCCATCAGCCGTGGCAAAACCTCGTTATAGCTTCAATTCCAATCGCACACAGATACATAACTAAGTCGAGTTAGAAATTATGACCACTATATATTAGCTATTAACCGTTATATTAAATATTAAAGCTAAAATTTTATTGTCGATACTAGCTCAATATCATTGTTGTTCGCCAAGGTCACAAATAGTGGTTATAAGTTCAGAAATTTTTATTCTTATTGAAGCAAACATTACTAAACTAAGCTCTTTTCTTAAGACTGCATTACACTGTCAACTGAGTTTCTGTTTATAGGAATTTTGCGTAGGTAAGTTCTAAGGTTTGAAGGATTTATAAGAAATGTTTGAGTCATTTCTTATAAATCTCTTGGAATTTACCGATGCAAAATTCCTACTCATGTGATCACAGAAATTTTGATAGTGCATGTAAACCAACCTTAGTATTTGTTTGCCACAAAATACACGACTTTCGTATGTATAATGTGAAGAATTAACATTGTTTTCTCATTTTGATAGCCTGGTGGCCCTGGTTTCCATAATATTATGCTCGTAAAAATAGAGTCACGATCTTTCTCAACGGCCAGTTTATAATACAGTAGTTTATACCTGTAAACCACATATAAATCATAAGTATTCTCTAGTTATAATCACTCCGTGTATTTTCAGTTCTCAAATGTTGTATTTCGGCTGATGGGAAAGATCGTTGGACTCAATCTTTACGACCGTTGCGCCCCCGACAGTTAGGGATCCCATCAGCCACGGCCTGTCGCACAGAAAATTAGAAAAGGTAAAAAATGCAGGTTAAGAATCAATGGGAAAATGCAAAATTAATAATGCTAAATAATATATCTTTCATGGACCGTTAACGGTAGCTGATTTTTTTATTCCATCTCAAATAAAACAACTGAATTATTCTTGTTAGTTGTTTCATGTGTTGGAGATTGTTATTGTTATTGTTATAGACACGGGATTTTCCAGAACATTCTACAAATATTCAACATAAATATAATATCTCAGTCAAACAATGACAGCAGTTAACAGGGCCCCCCATACCAAATATGCCTAAGGGGCCCCTTCCTCCATTGCGCCACTGAGTACAATTGTACAAACTTTGTAAGTTCTTATAGAGTGCGCCGTAATGGTTCACAATCGTGATAAATAATAGAACGACCGACCCCATTAAGGCCTAATTCCACGACGAGCGAAATGCGAAAAATTTCGCGCGAAAAGGTTGAACGCATGCGCAACATGATTTTGGAATGTTTCTCTGCGAAATATTTCTCTTTGCCGGGTAGTTGAATTCGTTTCTACTCCGTTGCGAAATGGAAATAGCGAAGCCAATCAAATGCCTGTGTTTTGGATGACAAAATAGCGAAACCAATCAAATGCTTGTGTTTCGGCGAATTTTTTCCCTACTGTGGAAATCACTACGAGAGAAAATTTTCGCACAAGTGTGTTTTCGCGCGAAATTTTCCGCATTTCGCTCGTCGTGGAATTAGGCCTTTAACCCGAACCCTCGCTAACTCGAACAATGTTTCGCTTTTTCGCCTCCCTTGGGAGTTCTAGATCTACAGTACTGTATTTTTCTGCTAGTGTTCATCTGCAGATGCAAACGACGGCTGAAATCTGTGCACATATGTCAGCGGTTGTTCGTATAAAAATAGAAATGTTGACGTCTTCAAAACAATGGCCGCTCCAAGTTTATCAGAATGAAATCTTTCCGAAATAAAATTTTGCCATCAAAACGTCGTATTTGCACATAAAAGAGCTTCAAAATGGGTGCAAAGCCTTCTTCTATCAATGAGCTGAAAGAGAACGTGCTTTTGAAGCGCCTAGTTGGCCAAGAATCCATTCCAGAACGGGGGCAGTTTTGGGAGGAGTTGCTTGCCTTCAGTTTTGCGAACGTATACAGCATGTGAGTTTTATTTTCAAAGTTTACGATTACTGTTATATTTAATTGTTTAAATAAGTAGAAAGTAATAAGCTTTTGTGTGTTAAGTGTATTGTATTGGCTCGGTAAATGAAACGGTGTACTTATTGTAAAGTGTTAGAAAGTACAAAAAAGTGTTTTATTTTGTAAACACTTGAAATTTATACTATTTCGTGATGCATATTAATAAATGAATAAATGATGTTTTAGTATATGTTTAATGTACATTGTTTTCTTATGAGATTTTGTTGGTAGTTTGTTATTGATTGAAATAATATTTTAAGAAATAATTGCATTCATTTGCCCTGTAGATCTGATGCAAAGTTATTGGAAGAAGCAACAGAATTACTCTGTTATAATTTAGGTAAATATTGTGTTTAATGAATGTAAACATACATTTACACATTGTGATTTCAAATTTTGCCATCAACTAAACGAAGATGAATTGCGGTGTCAGGACTAGTTTTTATATTGCAGAATACAAATCGTACACTGACAACAACTCGGTGTGTAAACATGTCTTAAATAAGCCCATTTTCCACCAGGCAAATTTGTATATATGAAGGAAGTTTTTGTCTTGTCCGACTTTGTTGCATTTTGCCTGACTAGTTAAAAAAATTTTCCCTGCTAAACTTCAAAAATTTTTGTTGACTGTAGGGTGGGGGGGATTTCGAAGGCCCAATTTAATGTTTCCAGCCACATTATGCCCAAGTTATGTTTAATAAAATTTGCCCAAGTTATAACATTTAAAATTTGCCAAACTTTAATTTTTCTGAGGGGGGGGGGGGGCGACAGCTGCTTGTGTTGACCCCTGCAGATGTTATAACTTATTCATGAGTTGAATTAGCAGGTAAATAGGTTAGGGAGTACATGTACATGTTTGCATGAGTTTTGAACAAGCACTTCATATTCTTGTAGCTCGAAACAATTTACAAACTGGAAATTTTATCACGTTGGTTGAGTTATGTCAAAGAAAGGTTGTGGATTTACGAAAATGTGATGGAAAGATTGAGTATGGATTCCAAACTTTGAATTTAAAATTTGGAATATTTTAATTAATATAATTATATAATATAGCAATTAATTCAGTTCTTTTTTTACAATTATGATAAGGATGTGTGAGACTCTCCCCTTCACCAGTAAAATCGTCTGGCATTTACAGGGTGTTAGCGAGAAGAAAAAGTTTTGTCTGTTAAACGTAAATTGGGAAAGTTTTTTTGACTGATCAAAGTCCTTGTGTAGGAATAAATAGTGTTTTTTTCCAACGTATTTCTCCTTAGATGCAAACAACGGTAGCTTGTTTTTGTATATTTCATTTCCGGTGAATGAACACGGATGCATACCGATTACACTTTGTTTTGTACATTTCATTTCAGTGAATACACACCCAATTAATATGAGTGAAACGTGATACATTTTGAGAAAATAGTTAATGGGAAAAAGTAAATAAAACGTTCTTTGATATAATGATATAAAATCAAACGCAATGCACTCTCTCATCAGAAAAAATGAAAATCTTCCAGTAAATCCAGTTTGGAAAGCCCCTTAGCTTCTTCAATTGGGAAGAGTCCGTCAAACGGACAGCATATGGGCTAGCTAACACCCTGCATTAGACAGAGTAAAATTGCAATAAAGTAGAGTGCATTGGAGTGCATTGGAGTGCATTGCAGCTAAATGGATTAATTAATTTATGGTTATCCCATAAATACGAAAAACTCTCCCCTTGACAAGTAAAGTTGCCTGGTGTTAGACAAAGTAAGATAATAAAGTATCTAACAGAATTGGAGTGCAATGCAGATTAACCCATTAAGTTGCATTGCATGCAGCCTAAGGTGCCCTAATTTATTATTTTACTCTGTCTAACTGCAGATTATTTTACTTGTCAAATGGAGAGCCCTGGTGCTCCAGGGCTTAAAAAATAGGCATACAGACATACAATTGTATGCCGAAATTAGCTTGGCATACGCCAAGAATTTTAGACAAAATAAGTACGATCTCATATACTTCCTACACCAGAGCTAGCTGAACCGTTACCCCTTTCTGTTTGCCTTGAAATCCTTCGACAATGTACAAACATTCACCTCAAACCCTGATTCTGAAATATCCATATATTTATAACAATCAAAACATTGAAACATTGATCTAGAAACATTGATCTAGAAACATTGAAACACATGAAACATTGATCTAGAAACAGTGAGTTCACTGCCTGAATCCCGGATGAGCGCATGGACACTTAAGGTTACAGGACACCCTTTTTGGCGTTTTGTGGAAAATCGCTACTGCGCGCTCAATATCAGTCCGATTTTCATCAAATTTTCACCAAATGTTCTCCAGTGCATGCAAAAGATGATAAAGTTGTAAAATTAACAAACAATAAAATAATGTAAGAATTATTCAGGAAACTCTTAAGTCGCGGTACCTTTACGCTTTTGAGTTGTGCTCCTGCTGGTTTTAAGTTATATTTATGAAAATATCATTTTTATACAGTAAAATAGTTGTTCTAAAAAATTGTGTTCGGAAATTTTTGTTTATTTCGTCATTCCGCTGATATGGCGATTTCTTTGACGACTGCAATATATTTCTGAATTCTTTGAGTGAATTGCTCTTTATTTTTAAAATATTCAAAATTAAAAAAAAGCCAAACACAGTTTTGAAGCTGACGTATTTAGCTATGTCCTGTGAAAATTTGAAAAAAATTGGTTAAAACCCGCAGGAGCACAACTCGTTTGAAAATCAGTAATTACCGTAAAAATTTTTCGGGAGAAAATTGAATTTGAATATTACATTTTCAATGTTTTTCTTATTGCAGCGAAATGTATTTTATTAAATAACTCTGCGAGTTTTCAACATTTTTCGTTCAAACTTGGTCAGATAGTAGAACTAGTCTAATGCCTTCATCGAAACCAATAAAAAAATTTTAGGCAAAATTAACACTCAAAGGTGTTCTGTAACCTTAAAGGGTTAAGTTGTGCTTGTTTCTGTGGAAATTGACCAAGATGTACACATTTTATTTTTTCTAGTACTGCTTTGTGTTGGGAAGTGTTCAACTCTTTGTTGCTGATTCGAAGTTTTGTGAAATATTTTATCGAACATTCAAAAGAAGAAGATTTGTTTGTTCATTTTGGTGGATTCACCTTGGCTCAAGCAACAAAACTCCAGCGAGGTACTGTACATACCTGTACATTTTCTCACAATGGCTGCTATGGGTTGAGATTGAACTATGCATCTCAATCAAAGTTGGTCAGGATCGAGGGGCCAACATTCATGCAAACCAGTGGTGGACACTTCACACAATATTGGGAGGCTATTTAGCATTTTCGGTTGCCAACCAGGGTCTGAAATTTATCCTCAGTATCCAACTGGGATACCAGGATTCAAAGTTTGGTATCCCCCATGGTTGAAAAATTATTGTTACAACTTTGTTACATTGTTATGGTTGCCCTTCTGAAGTGTAATGGTTGCCCTTCTGGCCATCCCCTAAGTACTGTACTAGACAGTGCTGTAAAGGCCTGTTTAAACGGATCCAACATTGTTGGACCAACATCATCCAACAATGTTACTATACTAGATATGACTGCTTCTCTTTCAAATCTTTTTGGTTAGATAAGCTTTACTCAAACCCTAAACCTAGTCTTGACAAAATATTTGAAAAAGAAGCCGTTTGAGCCATTATTTCAACAATGTTGGATGATGTTGGCCCAACAATGTTGGATCCGTTTAAACAGGGCTTAAATTGAAAATGAGATTTTACATTTCAGGGAAACTGGCTGGCCAGGTTTCACAAGGAATTCAAAGATTGCCAGAGGATAGTAAATTTCAAGGTAGAATATTACCATGGATAATAAAATAAATTTTTATTTTATTATCCATGATATTACAGTACTGTTTATGATGATTTATGTACAATTGTTGGACTAATGAAATAAATTGGTTTTTAGAATGTGGTCTGTTGGATGATTTCATTGATACGTTAGTTGAAATACTCGCAGAAGTTCCATACAGGTATTACTGTGTAAACTACAGCAACTGTACTATGCTTGAAATAGAGCCTAAAAAGTAAAAACTACTGAAGTCAGTATTTGCGTACGAATCGTACACAAAATTCACATTGGTCAGAAATAAATAGCCTTGCCTTTTAAGGTAATATCAGGGTAATATCAGGGTAATATCAAGTTGTTGTTTACGTAATACGATATTCCGTAATTGTACTTTTGGCCGCTTTAATTACTGCTTTTGCTGTCTATAAATACGGTCAATAACCGTTATTATTATTTAGTATGTAATTCCTGGCCGTTTAATGAAAATTGGAATATTTATTTTCGATATATTGGCTGGAAAATTGGCCGTTATTCTCATATTTTAAATTAGCTTTGATAATCTAATTAACAATCGCAGTTTTGATTGGTTGTTATTTTCTTGCATCCAAATCACTGTCCACTTTTTATTGACTTCAGTAGCAGGCTCTATTTCAAACATAGAGCCTGACACGCGGGCTACAGTAACTGTAGCAATTTTTCATTGTCATGATACAAGTTCATCTCTTCATATTTAATATCATCAATGCTTATTTTGTTTTCTAGTGAAGAAACTTATGCGTTGTTTCTAGAAGCAATAAATATGCTGGTCATTTTACTTTCCGTACAAATGTTTGACCCAGATGCGTCATCAAACAGTGTTATCTATCAGATTGTCATGACTGGAAAATGGTAAGATGATTAACTAGTGATAGGCCCAGGGACTAGCTACTAGATGGGGTGTGCAACTCCCCCAAAGAAGTCCTAAAAATCTGCTTGACCATACCCCATACATTTTCTGCTTTTGGAATAGCGATTAGCGGAACTTCTACCGTTAGCGCGTGTCGATTTCTTGAAACGATTTAATTGATTTGTGAACTTCTACTTGCCCGTAATGATTTTTACTTGCCTTGGGCAAGCGCTAAATTACAACGTCCCTGTATCAGATGACAACTTTTGAGTTTGTTTGGAAATATCTTCAAGCTTTCGAGTAGTTATTTGAACAAAATATTTTCTTAGGCGTGGTTGACCGTTTATAAAAAATGGCCGTCAGTTAACCAGCATGTAATTTGAACCACCTTGTTGCCTAGCTTTAGTCCGCTGTATATAGTGTTGTGTTGTGGTGCGTTGTAGTGTAAGCAATGTGCAAGTTTGAAATATCTATATTTTCAATTCAGCTCAAAAAGAAGCAATAAGTTGGTGATGAAACTTCTGCGATACTACATCAAACAACAACCATTGCCTGACGAATTGAGAAGTGGAGGTGGAAAAGGACTCATTGGTAAGGATCACTAAGACTTTACAATTATTGTGAAGAACTTGAAATGATGATCAGGCTGGAATCTAAATACAAATCAGTACACTAAGCTAAGAACTAAAAAAAATTAAAGACAAAACAAAAACGACACTGTAAATGAAAAATAGTTTCACTGAATGGATGAACTAGGGCGAGAGAGAGAGAGTTCTCACTGGTGCATGGATCCGTCTGTCTTCCTAGGATTCCCTTGCTTATGTTAGATCAGACGGAACCTCCGTCTCTGGTACATATTAGCTACACTTTTCCTCCGCAGAGGCTTATTGGATAGCTATATATTACATTATACCCGCAAATCATGTGGCATGCAGGTAATCAGCCAAGCCATTATAAATGAATGTAGCTGGGTTTTAGTAGAAACGAAAATTTATATACAGTGTTAGACCTACTCGGGGGCAACTGCAAAAAATGAAACGTTAGGCCGTCCAGCAGGAATCGAACTCGCGGCCCAGTGCATGCAGCGCGCTAACTGTACAGCGTCCAGTTGACGAGCATTAACTACAGGTTCTTTTGTGTAAATAGTAAAGTGACGACAGTGTGAAATCTTTGATACACCCTGTATTTTATACCTATTGTAAATGACGAATATTTTCTCATCATAAAGGAACATTGATGTCGTGGTTTGGCAGTGAGGAACCAGCAGTCGAGGAAGAAGATGCATTACTTGCAAATCAAAGTTTGTTACTACTCTTAATCTTGGTCAATCATTGCACTCAGGGCAAGAAATTAAACCTTTATCGTCAAGCATTGTTCACCTTTACCAACTCCAAACCAAAAGGTACGTCAAGAATTTTTGTAAACTGTAAGTTTGTGTTAGAAGCGATGGATATATGAAAGAATTTTTAAATTTTGAAACTTCAAGATACGAGTCAAGCGATACGCGACGTCTATATTCCTATATACTGGCTATAAAAAATAAAACAGTGTCATAGAATAAAGATCCGTACAGAAGGACCACTTACGTCGGAAGCTTTGAAGTTTCTATCCTCGCGCATGTCGCATTACGCATGTCGGCCGCCATTTTCCTAGCCAGTCAATGACATTTTCTGGCCAATAAACACGCTGTACTGGCTGGCTGCTCCGCCTTCTGGCCAGTAAACTGCATTTTTTTGCATAAAAAACAAGGACACGTTGCACCGCTGAGTGGCCCTTCTGTTACTGATCTTCATTCTGTGACAGTGTCGTTGATATTATATTTTCCTCACTGCACAATGAACGCTTAAACAATTAAAACTCCCTGAGCAAATCACAAACGCATGCAGTAACGTCAAAACATAGCGTGCGGAATAAGATTCTCAGCCGCGGCACGGGATTTCGAGGGATCAATATCCCGTCCCGCGGGATGGGATTCCTGTCCCCCGGGACGGGGGACGGGATTGTTAACTTTCCCGTGAACGGCACTGCAGGTAATATGTATACGTTCTTGATTGTCAGGTGGTACCTCATCCGGCGAAACGGAAGAAGCTTCGTTTTATTTGAATGCTGGAATACTTTATTCTACCTTATGCAGGTAATTTTATCTTTGGTCACTGAATTAATGTATATCATATAATACCGTTATACTCTTCCCTTCTTTTACTACTTTTATTAAGTTCTAATCAAGCGAGTGAACTCTATACTGTATTAATATAAATTATACAGTGTGTCTGTAGTAAGAACTTCAATCATTCGTACAATGGGCATGGCTGCAAATAAATATTTGACTTGACAGGACATTTGTCCAATCACTTTTAATTTTGGTCGAACATAACTTGAATTTGGTCGGACATAGGCCTATATACGTCACAATTATTGCAAAATGCAAATTGAGTGAATTTGCAATCGGATTTTGTCACAGCAAAAAAATGTATAATGTGACAATATATTTTTTTGATCGGACCAAATGTCAAAATTACTTTTGCTCGGACATTTGCCAAATTTAGTCGGACATTGTCCGATGTCCGACAGTAATTTGCAGCCCTGATGGGTGATTCCAGCTATTTTAGACTAAATTTTGATCAAAGCAAGAAGAACGAAATACAACACCACAGCAGGAAAGAGCGTCTTAGAATGAGTAAAACTGCAAAGATTGGTCGCTAAATGTTGTAAAATGAAGAAAGTATAGCTCTGTGAAGTTCGCAAATTTTGTATGCATTTGTATTATACGCGCGGTAAAAATAACCACTTTCGGCTCAAAAATGGTTATTTTTCACGCGCGTAATACAAATATATACAAAATTTGCGAACTTCTCAGGGCTATATATTCCTCATTTTAAAACAATTTGCAACCAATCTTTGCAGTTTTACTAATTTTAACATGCTCTTTCCAGCTCTGGTAATGTTTTCGTTCTACTTGTCTAGATCAAAATTTCGTCTATAATAGCTCAGGAATCATCCATTTTTCCTACCTAATTCGAGTGTTTTCTAACGCATCATATCGCTAATCAAGTCACAACACAAAATTTCGGAACACTCTATAGTTTTTGGCAGCCTTCTGTTAAACGCGGACAAAAATTCTAGAAACTTTTAATTTTTTCAATTGAAACTTAATTATGGCACTGGAAGTCAATCCCGCCATCTTTGGCTTCACTTTTCGGACGCGAGTTCTTACTCCAAATTATATGAAGCTCACTCATGGTTGTACTACTTAACTCATTAAGCACCAGCGTTCCCCCCTTGACGAGTAAAATTGTCTGGCGTTAAACTGAGTAAAATAGTAAAGTAGGGCGCATCAGGGTGCAGTGCAAATGCGTTAAAGTAGAAAATCTGTGTATATTTCTTAGTTACCTTAATTATATTTATTTTTAATTTCTAGTCAACTGCATACAGATCAAACGACATTACTTCTATACCTGTTACTACATCGCAATCCAACGATAGCTTCGTACTTACTATCAAGAACTGATATTGATCATTTGGTATGTATAGCGTGGCTTGTAATCATTCAGTGAGAATCTTCGGGCCCAGTGGAGGACATTTCGGACATGGCTGCAAATTGCATTTCTATCAAGTTTTTGTCCTAAATTTCATGCAAGTTTGCTGAATTTAGAGTTTGCCATTGCATGGTTTCATGGTTGATTGTAAAGTTATTGATAATTTGATAGTTACAGTGTATTGTAACGGCTTTGTTTCTCAGTTATTCAGCTACACCTTGGATGGAAACGATACTCGCATTGAGTTCATAGGCATATGTGTAAAGGTTCAAAGAGGGGCGGTTGCCCTCCCAAAAATGTAGAATACCAAGGAAATTCGGGCAAATGTTGGGGGAAATAATGAAAACTCACTCTAAACCATAACCAATGCTCCATGCATATGCACCTCCCCCCAGATCTGGCTGGATCCGCCCCTGCCTTGGGTCAACAGATTATTGCATTCTACCTCTGAAGGAGTGAAGCTAAAACTAAACATTGATCTGCTTCGATTTATGTAGGTCACTCCTATTCTCAAACTGCTGTACACTGCGGAAGAACAGAACTCGCATCATATCTACATGGCTTTGATTGTTTTATTAATTTTGAGTCAAGATGAGAATTTTAACAAATCTGTTCATGAGGTGGTAAGTGTTGAGTTACCAAGCGATATACAGTATTGTACCGTTTGTGAGGGGAGATGAAGTTAGCGTTACGGGTCAGCTGATGGTTATTGAACAACTTCAGAACAGTGACCACTTATAGAGGGCCAGTTCCACTCGAGAAAAATTTCCACGGACAGAAAAGTTTCCGAAAATATCATTGTTAAAATTTTGAAATTTAAAATTCTCAACTTCAACATTTTTTCCGACGGAAAATTTGTGTCGGCCAATCACATTTTACAAAATTTTCTTTCCACGGAAAATTTTCCTGAGTGGAAATGGCCTTTTATAGCTATAGGTCATAGGAACAAGAAAATTAAATTAAATTTCTCAATTTGATAATGAAGAAAAGCTGGGTGGAATATACTGTATGTAGGAAGAAGTAGACATTTCTTCATGGCAAGGGCTGGTGTATGGTATTTTTGCGCGCGTTAATTTGTTACCGCAAAGGCAATGAGATGAGTTTTGTAAAAACAAATTAACCAGTGCGAAATTACAATACAAAACTTGTTGTGGAAAAATTAATGACGATTTTGAATGAAGAGTAAAGCGTATGAGTAATGTTGATCTTTTGTTTCTTTGTCAGGTTTTACCAGAAGTCCCGTGGTTTACAGATCGAGTTATAAATAATATCACGTTGGGAGGAATGCTGGTTCTAGTTGTGATAAGAACGATACAATATAATATGACTAAAATGAGGGTTAGTACTCTGTCTTACTTTGTTCCTTTAGAATGTGATTTTCTCATAAATGGTAATCTAACCCAAGATAATGAATTCTTAATTAATCTATTTTTTCCACTTTTACCCATTGAGCGCCACAGTCCTATCTCCTCTATTTACTGTTCTGTATTACCAATAAAATTATTTTCTTTCTAGGACAAGTATCTTCATACAAATTGTCTAGCGGCTCTGGCAAACATGTCCGCACAGTTCCATGCTTTACACCCTTATGTTACACAACGACTTGTCAGGTATGTGTTGAACCCCTACTTTCAATACCACAATATTTCTGTATTACACCCTTATGTTACACAACGACTTGTCAGGTATGTGTTGAACCCCTACTTTCAATACCACAATATTTCTGTATTGTAATGGAGTACCTTTGGCGCGATCGTCAAAGCAAGCGCCTTCCACCTCTGAGTTCTTGGGTTCGACTCTCGCTACGGACTCATGTGGAAAAGTCAGTCAAAGCTTCCCCGAAAGTCGTGGGTTTTCTCCGAGTGCTCTGGTTTCCTTCCACAGGAAATGTTGACAGGGTGTGTTGGGATTAGCCTCCTAACTGAGCCTTCCACCGTAGTTGTGCTCCGTGATCAGACATGAGTCATAAGGTGGCTGCCAGAGGCGCCCTTAGTAAGCCTTCCACACGATCAGCTTGGGCTGCGTCCTTCGCAATGGACCTTTAACCTTATAACTAAAATTTTGATCTAGACAAAACTTTCATCACAGCTTGAAAGAGCATCACAAAATTAGTAATACTCCAAAGTTTCGTTACGAAATGTTGTAAAATATTGTAAAATGCGGATAATATAGCCCTGCGAAGTTTGCAATTTTCAGTCATTTTAGATTACAAACTGGAAATTGATACCCAAACACCCGATTTGGGTATCAATTTCCCGTTTGTAATCTAAAATGACTGAAAACTGCAAACTTCGCAAGGCGATATTATCCGCATTTTACAACATTTCGTAACGAAACTTTGGAATATTACTAATTTTGTGATGCTCTTTCAAGCTGTGATGAAATTTTTGTCTAGATCAAAATTTAGCTATAAGGTTAAAGGTCCATTCAGCTCTCAGCTGTAAGTAAGGATGATTAGCACACCACTACTTACTGTACGTTACAACATATTCTCTTCTATTGTTTCACAGTTTATACGCTGTGTTGGCGAAAAAACATGGTCGCGTACAAGAGCAAATCAAACAAGCTGAACAAAATCCACACCAAGCCATGCAGGAAGACTTTCCACAGGATTTCGTAAGTGCCAATCGTACCATGCTGGGTTGCTCCATCTATTCTGAACTGTTAAGTTCTGCCTAGAAATCTAGTTGTGCCGGCAGTGTTTGGAAAAGCCAAAGTGGAGCGCTCTTCATGCATGCGAATGAGACGAAGTTTTAATCAGACATTTTCCCACAAAATTGACAGAATTTCCCACAAAATTGACAGAATTTGTCCCATTTATTTTTATAATAAGCCAATATTGCCCGACTGTGAATCGAATATTGCCCGACTGGCTTTGTTTGCCCAACAAACTGGGGGGCTGCCGCCCCCCCCCGCCCGGTACGCCCATGACACTTATTGATCTGTTTATGTTCCAGGTTTCTGACTTGGCAATTCTTGAAGAAGTGATACGGATGGTGTTGGAAATAATCAATTCGTGTCTAACAAACACACTGCATCATAATCCGAACCTCGTGTATACCTTACTGCACAGACGAGAGTTGTTCGCTCAGTTCAGAACACACCCAACTTTTCAAGATATTATACAGAATATTGACACGGTAAGTCCATCTATACTCACAAGTCACTACACGCAACTAAACTTAAAACTACAGTATATGATTAATGATTTGAGAGTAAATTCCCCTGGCACGAAAATGTGGAAATTTGTAGACGATGTCTCATCCTCTGAAAATCTTAATCGAACAGCTTCTCGGTCACTCAGTCAACTCTTGATTCTATCGATTCATGGGCAACTTACAATTGTATGAAATTGAATGCCAAAAAGTGCAAAGAGCTCAGGGTTTCCTTTCTTAAAGAAACCCCGCAGCTACCATCTTTGACAATTGATGGTTACGTGGTAGAAACGGTACAATCGCACAAAGTGTTGGGTTTAATTATTCAAAACAATCTTAAATGGGACGAGCAAATTCGATCAATCGTCACCAAGGCCTCCAAACGGTTATACGGTCTTCGCGTATTATGCCGCGGTGGTGTCCCTCCTGCTGATCTTACCAACATATACTTTGCTCTTATTCGTTCTATTCTGGAATACTGTTGTGAGGTATGGAATTACGCGATACCTCGCTATCTGTCTGACGAACTGGAAAGAGTACAAAAGCGTGCCATGCGCATTATCTTTCCTGGCCACCCATACGACGAAGCTCTTCAATTGGCTAATTGCACAAGACTTAGCGACAGGCGAAACGAAACCTGTATAAATACCTTACAGAAGATTGCTAAACGAGCAGGCCCCCTTGTTGAACACGTGACACAATCCAGAGCTTGTGCTCAACAATATTATATTAGAAACTTAAATAATCTGTCATTGTATAAATGCAGAACTGAACGCTTTAAAAACAGTTTCTTTCCAAGAGCAATTGTCGAACTGAATGCCATGAAATAGAGAAAGGAACCTACCTTAGATTAAATTATTAAATTTTAACAATATTCTTAACTTATTATTCGATCTTAACTTATATATTAATAATATTCGTAACCTATTTTACCTTAAATTTTATGACCGTGTAAATAACTATAAACTAAATTTGACTTTGAATGTAAACACATTGTAATTCATTGTTTTTGCGAAAATGTGTAATTAAACACCAAATAATAATAATAATAATAATAATAATAATACTGCATGGGTATTACTTGCTGCAAGCCGACTCTTATTCAGTCCCAGATAATATATTTCTCTTCCTGGCTGCAAATTTCAAGAATAAAAATTTCCTATGTGAGTCAAATATGAAAACTTCCTGAATATGTAGAGCTTGAAAGTCAGAGGCATTAACCAGTATACATAATTATACTGTGCTCGTGGGTGTAGTGTTTTGGTAATAATACATATACGTTTCATTTGTGCGCAGGTATTGGCGTTCTTCAGCACTCGTCTTGAACAACATCCAGAGCAGACTTTATCAGTTCAGGTTGTGCTGGACGTTATCAAACAAGGAACATTACAATGGCCTCGAGATAGACTCAAGGTTTGTGCTCAATTCTTTTCAGTATTCTTTATAGACGAAAATACTCAATTCCGATTGACTGAAAGCACTGCAATTATTTTTGAAATTGCACACTGTGTGCAATTAACAAAACACAAGCAGAGCTTGGGAACGAGGCAGAAAAAATGAACATGGCGGCAGGTATTGGCAATGTAAATTTTCACTTTTTTGACAACTTGTGCACGTGAACGGAAAATCGTACGTGAAAATAACAACTCACTGAAAGATTGAAGTGTTTGCTAACAAACAATGAAAACGATGTTTAAATGGCGTAGGTGAGTGCAACGGTGTTATCGAAGCGTGTATAGTTTGATACGAATAATGAGCTACTCGCAGACTTCCCCAAATTCGGGTGCTTGGTTTCTGTCTTGTCTTCTTTCGTGTCTTTGCTGGTCAGTTCGTAGGAATTACCCAATTAAGCGATGGGTGGAACGCACAATTTAGGAAGCGCCAAACATATCTTGCATAATTACTCAATAATGCATTACAAATTCAATCATAGTTTTTCCTAGGAGTTTATATAAATATCCCTTAACGCGTGGACAGGGCCTCCAAGAGGGGGAGGGGGGGGGGGGGCTTCACAGAGGCAGGTTTGCCACGGGCCTCCAGATGAAAGGGGCCCCCAAACTGGGAAAAAGCAGAAAATTTTTGAAGACTAGTTTATTCGAAGATCATAGGTGTAGAGAATAAGGGGGCCAGAAATTTTACAGCGGGGGCTTAGCTCCCCGAGAAATTGTCCATAAGTAATACGTCAACGGTGGCTAGACGGGGGAGGTCTTTGGAAAAAAAATTCAGTCCGTGGTGAACGCCCGGCAAGTCACCCAAACTTAGTTTTAGGGCCCCCAAATTATTGTTTGCCCCGGTCCCCCACTTGTCTCTGAGAGGTCCTGAGCCCGGGATAAATTGGGGGACATTGTTGCGCAAAGATATTTGTCATATTATTTGTCTTGCCAATTGACCATTTGCGTAATAGACAAAATTTTGATCTAAACAAGTCTGGACAAAAATTTCATCACAGCTTAAAAGAGCATCACAAAATTAGTAATATTCCAAAGTTTCGTTGCGAAATGTTGTAAAATGCAGATAATATTGTCTTACCAGCGTTGGCAAACGGAGGCAAATGTTTCATCAAATGTTTTTGAATTTGGTAGGAAATGTTTTTGCTTTTCGCGAAGCAAATTTTGTTTCTGCAGCAAAAAAAAAGATGTGGGAGACAGGGAAACATTGAAAACCACGTTGAGCAAACATTGAAAACCACGAATATTTCCGCGATAATGTTTCTTACGTTTGGCTAAGGCTTTAGTTTAGCGAAATATTTCATTTGTTTCTTGATCGTGTGAATTGTATGTATTTTATATATTCTCTGTCTTGTTTGGTACAGGTGGGTTTTTACCTCACACGAATTTGCTCGCCAGTTTGTAGAGTTAAACATTAAAACGGTATTTTAAAACGATAGCCAATGAATTGAAGTGATTTAGCATATGAACAAGCAAAATGTACAATGTGTTTTAAACAATATTTAATGTGTGTGTATTTATTCGTTAATATTACAAGGTTTGTTCTTTATTCTGTGATTTTATCTGCGCGTGCGCAGTGAGAGTTTGGCTGACATGCGCATGCGTATTTGCTACCAACGCAATGGCGGTTCGAATATTTCGAAGCGCGAAAATAGCAAATTTTGGATGGATCTTTATCCCAATTGTGCACCTAGGTGTTTTGCTTGGGGAGCAACGGATTCTGATAAAGTAAGTTTTTTATCTATTGATTCATGCGAAAATTACGTAGTTCCACGAGGGGTGCAACGGAATTGATTCTTTTGGATGCTCACCCTACGGCCTATTACGCTGGTGTCCAATCTCTATTCTGTGGCGGCGTTGTAAGGCCAACAATAGAGACCTTACGATTTTGGACGGCAACGGCTGCCAATACAATAGATCATTGAAAAGAATTGAAAAATTACAGTATATGAATAATTTAGACATTGTCCTCGCTCTGTTTACAACGCCAAATCACAGATTTTCAGTTTCACGTCTTGATACAACGGCTGCATTTCAAGCCGCGCAACAAGTGCAACTTCAAACCGGGTTTAGCAGAACTCTTCCCTTCAACTTCTAAGACTGTATTAAATTTATACGATTGATAATATACGACGAATTATCTTTACTACCATTTATTTGAAGGAGTTTGTTTTGGCCGTCGTCGTCGCGTTGCCGTCCTAAAATCGTAAGTTCTCTAAAGCCCAGTTTCCATTTGGTCGTTAGCTGTCGCTGGCACGACAAGCGGTAGATGTGAAATAGTCTAATATAATAATAGTCTGTTTGTGTGATATGCAAATCAGTCTTAATGATTTCAGAGTTTTTTGTTGACATTCTATTACATCAGCCACTTGTCGTGCCAGCGACAACTAACGACCAAATGGAAACTGGGCTTAATAGGGAATTTACGAATGTAAAATAGAGACCTTACGATTTTAGGACGGCAACGGCTGCCATAGATCATTGAAAAGAATTGAGTAATTACAATATATGAATAATTTAGACATTGTCCTCGCTCTGTTTACAACGCCAAATCACAGATTTTCACGTCTTGATACAACGGCTGCATGCCAAGCCGCAACAAGTGCAACTTCAAACTGGGTTCAGCAGAACTCTTCCCAACCATAAAACCCATGTCTTCAACTTCTAAGACTGTATTAAATTCATACGATTGATAATATACCACAAACTATCTTTACTACCATTTATTTGAAGGAGTTTGTTTTGGCCGTCGCCGTCCTAAAATCGTAAATTCTCTAATAGGGAGTTTACGAGTGTAAAATGGCGACGTCAGGACGACAGCTATATCAATACAAAAGAAATGAATAATTAGTCTAGCAGGAGTTTTAGACGTCGTCCAAGCTCTGTTGACAACGGCAAAATGCATGTAGTACGCTAGCATTTCAATCCGTGACAGGTAGTTTTTCTAGCAGTGTTTATCGACGTTGCTCTGAGGGTTAAAGCTCTGTTTTGCTCATTCGACACTATTAAATGCAACGAATGTAAATACAAGACAAGACTTCCATACAATCATTCATTTCAAACAGTTTGTTTAGCCGTCGTCCTCACGTCGCCGTCTTACATTCGTAAACTCCCTAATGAAAAGAGTTGTTCGTTGGTCTTTAAATATTTACCGGTTCATACTTTGTGCGCGATTCAATTAGATATCAAAAATAGTCTTTCTTTGACTATTTTCGATTTACAGCTACTCTGTAAATACAATGTAGCTCGACTTCCTTGTCTTTATTTATACTTTTTCACGATAACATTTAAATTATAAACAAGCAGCCTAGTTCTAGGATGTATCTAGATGTTTACTTGGCATGTCAATAGAGACCTTACGATTTAGGATGGCAACGCGACGGCAACTGCTACCAATATAATACATCATTGAAAATAAGTTAGTCAAAAGACAATTGATACTTACCCAAGGTATCCTTCCAAGCATACCCGAAAATACAAACATTGTTATCTACAATTCTATTAGCAAGCAATATGTATTTCTTCCACTCGTGAGCTCATTGCAAAGCAATGTCCAGGCCTTGTGACCCTGGATGGACATTGCTTTGCAATGAGGCCTGGACATTGCTTTGCAATGAGCTCACGAGTGGAAGGAATACATATTGCTTGCTAATAGATTGTAGATAACAATGTTTGTATTTTCGGGTATGCTTGGAAGGATACCTTGGGTAAGTATCAATTGTCTTTTGACTAACTTATTTTATACAGAGCACTTCCGTCCTTTATCATTAATTCATTGAAAATAATTGAGTAATTACAATATATAATTTAGTCATTGTCCTCGCTCTGTTTACAACGCCAAAACACAGATTTTCACGTCTTGATCAACGGCGGCATTTCAAGCCGCAACAAGTACGTGCAACATCAAACTGGGTTCAGCAGAATTCTTCCCAACCATAAAACCCATGTCTTCAACTTCTAAGATTTACGACGAATTGTCTTTACTACCATTTATTTGAAGAAGTAGTTTTAGCCGTCGCGTTGCCGTCCTAAAATTGTAAGGTCTCTATTGTGTGGGTAGCACGCGCTTTATTGTCTAATCTATTTGAATACGACAATTACATTGAATACCACGCACATGTCGCCTTTGTGTTATCCTAAAAGTCAGACGCAAAGTGTTTGATGTAAGACTGCTTATCTTGCCTACGCCAACAGGAACAATGGAAGCACGATCAATTGAGCTCTACAATCGATTCCTCGCTTCAGGGAATCGTTATCTGGAAAATAACAAATTGGAAGACGCTGAACGAGCCTTTGCTAGCGCGGCGAGACAGGTCTATATTTTGAAAAACAAAGTGTACGAAACAGCACTCGCCTTAAGAGGATTAGGGTTTGTCTACAAAGCTCGCGGAAGCATTCACAAAAGTGGTGAAGATTTGGTCAAAGCTTCGGGGCTTTTTATTGCTTCGTTGACTCGACTGCAAGAGTGCAATGCAGAAAATGAGCAGAAAAGAAATATCAAAACTGATTTAGACTCCGAAATTCATCATTTACAAGAAGAGATAAGCAATATTCACACCATGTTTATTGATGAAATACTTCAGTCGCACCAGAATGACAGCAGGAGCGATTTTCGAAAACACGAACATTACAAAGAATCTCTTCAAAAGATCCGCGAATTCTGTCGATCGAAAATGAACACCTTAGATGATATGCCTCTGCTTGACCCAGATGTAAGTCAAGGAGGTATCAGTGTTGAAAAGGAAAGAATAGAATATACACAACAATTGTATAAAGACATATCGAAATCAATGAAAGATTTAATTACATACATGGTAGATGACTGTATGAAAATTATGTCAAGTCCTCCGTGTGAATTTGCTATTCTTGGCCTGGGTTCAACAGCAAGGGAGGAAGCTACGCCATACTCTGATTTAGAATTTTGTATCCTTGTTGAAGAGAACACGGACGCTGTCCTGCAATATTTTACCGACTTCACAAACCTTCTTCATTTAAAAGTTGTAGAACTTGGTGAAACTGTTCTTCCTAGCCTGGGAATTAGATCATTGAATGATTACTATTCCGGAAGCAGAGAGGATGACTGGTTTTATGATGATGGTCAAAGAGGTTTTTCGTTTGACGGAGTCATGCCTTGGGCAAGTAAAACGCCAAAAGGAAGAGACAAGACTTTGAATAAGCCTTGGATACAGTCACTGATTAAAACTCCTAAGGATATGGCTGGCCTTCTTACAGAGACATCTATCTTGAAAGAGGGATACCATCTGGCTGACGTGCTTTCTATTTGTTCTCTAATTTATGGAGATTGTTCATTGTTCGAAAACTATAGAGATTTTATGAGAGACTTGCCCGAAACTATAAACGATTGCAACTCCGCGGAGGTTCCAATGTCTTGGAAAGAGAGAATCTTACAAGAGCTGGTTGAAGTACAAAAGAAATATCATAATTTTCTTGCAGACTACTTAAGAAGACCAGGTGAGAGTTATGCAGTGAAAACAGATATCTACAGATTTCCTAGTCTTGTTATACAGTATGTAGGGAGGTACTTCGATATTCATTGTTCTTCTTCGTGGGAAACGATCGATAGGTTGGTGTCTGAAAAGATTCTTCCTCCAGGAAGAGCTCAGAATTTAAGAACTGTGCTTGGTATAGCCGCAGAACTTCGATTGAGAACATATTTAAGCAATCAGTCTCAACGTGAGTATTTCAATGCACTTGGTAATCAAGATCTCCCTGATAATCTATCATTGTTACTACAGAGGTTTTTCTTAACTGTTGTACCACTAGAAGAAGCTATAGAGAAATTGCCCTCTGAAAATTTACGTGATGTGATAAGCTCTGAATTATACAACGATAACCCAAAAATAAAAGCAAGACTGCACTTACAATTTAGGGAGTACGACAAATCTGAAAAGATCTTCAAAGACATGCTTGCAAACGCACAAGATTCGTCCCCGAATATTGCTGAAGATCAAGAAATTGCCGAAATTTCTAAATTGCTTGGGAATGCTTTGGTTTTCCAAGAAAATGTATCGGAAGCGATTGAATACTATAGAAAAGCACTAGAAATTAATGAACGAATCTACCAGCGTGACCCGCAGACATCTATGAATAAAAAACGTCTTGGGGACAGTTATTCAAACTACGCTGGCGCCCTTCAACAATCAGGCCAAATCAAGGAAGCTTTATATTATTATTTTAAAGCTCTGAACATCCGATATTCGTTACTTGAAGAAAATTCATCGACAATGAATCAAATTCATTTGCAAGATGTCGCTGACACACATTATAATGTAAGTGCACTTTATTTCAATGAGAATGTCAAATCAAATAAGGGGAATAAGAGGCCTATTTCATTTGGTAATATCTTAAACTTGACCAAAGCGCAAGCCAAGGATCATTGCCAACATGCACTGGATATTGCTAACATCTTATTTGAAAAGTACAATATAGCTTATCAGTATCACGTTCCATTATTATGTTTTAAAAGTACTTATTTACTTCAATCAGAAAAATGCGAAATGGCGCATGTCAAATACTTCAATGACGCTCTAGAAGTGTTGTATAGGCATAGAAAATATGATATTTTTACCGAAAGAGAAACAAAACTGTTAGCCATACTTGGAGCTGTAGCGATTGAGGTGGGAGATTGGGAGAAAGCGAGGTTTATGTATAACAGAGCTCGCAAGATACTGACTCACATCCATGGAGCGAATGATGAGGATTTTTTGGCTGAATCACTTAATAACCTAGGATTTGTCAATGAACATGAAGGAATGTACGAGGAAGCGTTAGAGTAAGTTTTACATTCAAGCTAGAGACATGAGTATAAGGATTCATGGTGAGGATAGTGACAAGTACTACATAAAACATGCATCATGCATGCGCAGCCGATTTTTATCTTATATACAAACTCGAGCCGAAGTCGAGAGTTTCTATATCAGATAAAGATTGGATGCAAATGTTTTATCGTACTTAAAAAATGACCCACCTTATGAGTTCATTGGCGAAGTAATTTTAAAAATAAACATTGTCTAAGCCTTGAAAATCAAAGCTGAAGTTTATCAGTAAATCAGGACAAATCTTTATCAAGCCAGGTGATCTTGATACGCGGAAAAGTACTGGCACTAGTTGTCAAATAGAAATCCATTTTATGATTAAAACAACTGAATATCTCCTGTAATATACTTTATTTCGATTCCATATTTTTGTCAGAGGTATAGTTCTCATAACCAAACATAATTACAAAATTTCAACTAGTTTCATAAAGAATAACGAAAGATATAATTGACTGAATACATCAAAATGGATTTCTATTCGGACAACCCTTTCTGAGCGCTGATTGGCTAAAATACGAACACGAGATCACCTGGAGTAAATCAGGACAAATCTTTATGCGATTTACAAACATTGATTAAACATTCATTTCTTTTGCATTTTCCTCATGACTTCAAAACTTAAAATATTTTTGGCGTTCCTTTCAAAATTACTTTGTTTTAGCTATATTCAACAGTTTATAGAATTAGCTACCTTCTTAAATGCATCTGCCGGGTTGAGAAACATAAAATAATTGTTAAAAATTGTTATTTAAAATACAATTACCAATGACGCTTTAAAATTGACGCCATATTTACAACAATATTAGCTTTATATTAGTTTAGTCATAACCACAAGTGGTATATTATACGCATTAGTTTTGAGCGCGTGTTACGTAACACACAAAAAATCTCCTCTTAATGAGTTTTACAAGTACTACGAGTTAATAATGAAAAGGAATATATTTATATGAAAATGAAGATAATACCATCTTAGGTTCAAACATTACAATAAATTTCAAAATCATACAAAATATGACCAGTTATGAGCGAATATATGTTTCAAAATTGCAATGGCTGAACAGTATAAACGTTTACAAATTGACAATAACAAACTCTTAACTCTAAAAATATATCACAATACGCGCTAAATTGCACTGTAGTTTGTATAGTCTGCTGTAAGGGAAGCCTCACATATCGATTTTGTCCACCAGAAACGTCAACCTCGTTCCCAGGCTCTTTGCTCTTGGGTTGAAACGTCATATGTTCGTTTCTCTGGAGACCACCCCTTAGAAAGTCACACATAGTTATCGATATTTTGTTCTTATAGTACACTTAGGGTAATTTTCTACTATTTTCTACGGTCGGCTATTGGTGATGCTTCCGCGAGGAATACATCATCTTCTGCTGACATATTTTTTTTATTAATAATAATATATATGAACTTCAAAATTTCCAACGTTTCTCCAAACAACTTTTTTTGTATGAAATATTGATGATTTTAGCGCGTTTTTCTTGAAACTTGAAACTTCAATGCAAGGAAGGCGTAGTAATATAAATGCATACGTATAGAACAAGTATGGTATTACGAATGTATAGACTGGTGTTTGTATCAAGCTGTTTTCTTTTTTATATTCTGCAGAGATGATTCCGAAATGTTAAGGCTTTCGAAAAAACTATCGAATTTTCCCATGAAGTTTACAGAGAAACGTCACAGCTGCAACCCCCACCCCCAAACGAACGTATGACGTTTCTCGTGGAAAAATTCGATATGTGAGGCTTCCCTAACACTCCTAATAACCGATAAAAGCAACGTTTGTAGATCGAGTAGTAAGTTTCATAAATACATAAAGCGACATGTATTTATTAAATAGGATACATCATTTGAATGTCAATCAGTATTTTCAAATTGATTGGGTATAGCCATTGTACCAGAATTACAAATTGTAAGTGAAATGCCGCGAGTAAATATCGGAAGTTCCTGTGTCTTCCCCAGTCGTCTCTTGATTAGTTGGACAGTCTTCAGGATAGTAATTGCATGTCTTCATAAATTTATAAGTTTTATAAATTCGCATTAACTGGGTATGCATTTATTATCATTTGGATCAGGCATGTACCACTATACCACAAACATTTTGTGAATGAGAATCAAACAGATAAATACAATCTTTTATTAGAGCCATATTAATAGTCTTCAAATATTATAAATGCATAAGTATTGCTTGAAAAAGCATTCAGCAAAGCTGAACGTAAAGTATAGTACAAGCTGTGATTTTTGTGCTTGTCGAACACATCAATAGTTTTCCCTTCATAAACTCTTTGTAATCTACTAACCATGAAAGTGCATTGTTTCACGAGTTTTGATCTTAAAATACCCTAAACTTTCGACATATGCAAACTCCAAAACCATGATATAGGCACTTTAATAATTAGTCACTAAAGCAACTCAACATCCGCCCTTTTTTATTCAGCCTAAATACCGGATGGGGGGATAAAACACGGACGAGGGGATAAAAACACGGACGAGGGGATAAAAACACGGATGAGGGGATAAAACACGGACGAGGGGATAAAACACGGACGAGGGGATAAAACACGGGTGGGGGATAAAACACGGGTGGGGGGATAAACGTACCTGTGCGCGCATTCAGTAAGTACGAAATTTTGAGTACCTGTTGAACTGAGGAAGATAAGGCAAGGATTCACTTATTTACTTGATACGTTTGAGAATACAAAATTTACTGAGAAACAAGACACTCAATACGAGTAAAACTGAAGTTGAAAAAAAGGTTCCGGACAAATACCTCTAAAATCATGGCTAAAACAGATTTTTTCGGACCAATACCAGCAAAATTAAGCTCTAAAAGATTTCTCTCATACCATGACTTATATAAAAACCGTTCCAAATTATAATTTTTTTAAATTACATCTTTCGGGGGGCCCCTTTTGCAAATTTTGGGGCCCCCTTTAACTGGGGGCCCGGGGAAAATTGCCCCCTTTGCCCTCCCCCCCTGGGCAGCCCTGATAGCGATATAGATTATATAAAGTATGTAAAGGTTTGAGCAAGTTTTCACCAAATTTCCCGACGAAATTTGATGCCTACAGTCTAAACTAAATATTTAATAGGTCTCGACTGACGTGCAAAGGCCATTCACTTTTCTTCATTTAAAAATTATTTTCTATCTTAAATTTTAGTCAAGCGGCTGCCAAATGTCATGACTCCTAACTTCTAAATTTCTGATCGTATAAACTTGATTCAAATATTTTCCGATAGCTTATTTCTCGAGGATTAAAAATATATAAAAATTTATTTGTCTTGGAGCAGCAAGCGTGGGAAATTTTGAAGAACAAATCAATTTCGCGCATTGAAATTAAGTGTCCGATGCCAGGACACACCAGGGCCATCTTACGCTCCCCAAATTTCGCGCGGATGGCATGGGGACGAGGTTGGTTTAAAAATGTACCGTGGCTCAGAGGGGCCATCTCTCTCTCTTCTTTTTTCCAGCCGCGCTCTGAATTACCACGCCACTTATTAGCCGTACTTCCAATTTTGAGCCGCGCACTTCCAGTTATGCCGCCACTATATGGCGCGAGTTATTAAGGCGCCACTTCAGCCGCGAGTTTATCGGATTCGTAATACTCGTTATACTCAGTATCTATATAATAAATAAACATATTTCCGTTCCAGAAATTTCCCGAGCTAAAATTCAAATACGTTGAAGAGGAACAACCGGAGGAATTCTTCATTCCTTATGTTTGGTCGCTGGTTTATAAATCCGCGAAATTATACTGGAATCCTGAGAGAATACAGCTCTTTCATCCCGGCCCTTAGGACCTAACTACCGTCGTTTGCATCTGAGCATGAACAACTGTAGATACAAGCATTGCCCATTCTCATGTGAAACACCAATGTTTTTGTATTGCTTAATGGAACGTGATGCTAGTTGAAACGTGGTTAGCTCATCACATTAAAATCTGTCAGTGGCGGGTATTTGGGGGGGGAGGGGCAATCGCCCCTCCCCAAAATTTCTGAGAGCCTCTGAATAACTTTGGATAACTGTGTAACGAAGCTGTAAAGACCCGTTTCCATTTGATATTCGTCTTAAAATCATCGCAAATAGCATCTTAAAATGAGCAAAATTGCAAAGTTTGGTTGCGAATTGTTGTAAAATGAAGCTAAATGTTGCATGAACTCGATTTAAAGAACTACGATTTCCAGCTACAAAAGTTGATCATATATTGGCAACCTACAGTAATTTGCCACTGTAATCTCTCGAATGCTGTTGACAAACATTGGAGTTTTAGATGAGCATACAGACAATGTTTTGTATGTTGTTGTTCATCAGCTGCAGACGATGGGAATTACTTATCGGACTTAAATCGAATAAATCCATGCAATCGGACATACTATCACCCGTCGTATGGCTAGCTGTTATACACTTGAGCATAGGCGTAAATGAATTAGAAGGAAAATAGACATAGATTCGTTGAGATATGGCAATAGACAGCAATTTTATTTAATCTCATGCCTAGATATATAGGGTCATCACTGATCTCAAAGATAGGACTGGAGCGAGCATTGATGTGACCACCGCAAATCTACAGTGGTGTTTGACAATATTTCCCAGAGAGGAATGGGCCATTTGCATTATAGACTAAATTTTGATCTAGACAAAAATTTCATCACAGCTTGAAAGAGCATCACAAAATTAGTAATATTCCAAAGTTTCTTTGCGAAATGTTGTAAAATGCGGATAATATAGCCTTGCGAAATTTGCAATTTTCAGTCATTTTGTATTACAAACGGGAAATTGATGCCCCAACACCCAATGTCTAGTGCGTAATGCAAAATGACTGAAAAACGGCAAACTTCGCGTGGCTATATATTATCCACATTTTACAACATTTCGCAACGAAACTTTGGAATATTACTAATTTTGTGATGCTCTTTCAGGCTGTGATGAAATTTTTGTCTAGATCAAAATTTAGTCTATAATGCAAATGGTCCATTGGTTATTAACGCCCATTTCCACTCAGGAAAATTTTTCGCATGAAGAACATTTTGTGAAATGTGATCGGCCAACACAAATTTTCCGTCGGAAAAAAATTCTGAAGTCGAAAATTTTCAACTTTAAACAGGGAAAATTTTCTGTCCGTTGAAATTTTTCTTGAGTGGAAATTGGCCTTTGGTGGCGTCTCTTACTTTTGAAATTTGCCAGCGAATAATTAATGAGGTCACAGCAATATGACCAACTCAAGTCTCATTATTTCGTGTTTAAAAAGTTCTAAAACTCATTAGAAGAGATCTGGGCTGCTGTATCTTTCAAGTTACGTAGAGAAAGATATTTGCCGATAGTATAACCAATTTAAACACGTAACGATTGACTTCTAAGTAATGTGACAGATTTAAAAATCTCTCGTAAGTATTCTGGCTTCAAAATTTCCCGAATTCAAAAGGTTGCTCTATCCAGTGTCAATATTTGAGATCAGTGGGGGTGATTCATGATTATCAACATTTTCCCAAGCCTACAAACCGTACAGTAGGGGGAGGGAGTTAGTGGCCAATGTACGCTTTTTTAAATGTCGATGGTAGATAGACGCATTATCCCTGAGGTTTAAATAAAATTACGCTCTAGGAGTGGTTTGGGGTAGAGAAAAAGAATACTCTCCGTACGCTTGTGAAAATGTTGATAATTATGGACTCCTAAAGATGTGGCAAACATTACTGTTGGAGATAATTATTTTGGAAATTAAGAAATAGAAGTATTTTTTTACTTCTAATGTTAAGTCTTGTTTACACTATCAAAGTTTCTCTGATCACAGTAGGAATTTTGCATCGATAAATTCTAAATTTTGAAGGATTTGTAAGAAATGTTTGAAGAAACTGACTTAGTGTTAAACACTTCTTACAAATCCTTCAAAACATATAATTTATTTCTGCATTTTGATAGTATAATCCAGCCTTTAGATATTCGCCGACTTGGAAAAATGTATTCAGAATTCGTATGCATGTATGCGAGATTTTATGTAAATGACATTAATGAAATAACACTATATGGGTTAACGTAATATTCCTGGGTAAATTTCCTGGTTAATAATATACATGAAAACATTTCTCAATTCTGACTGGCTCAGAGCAGTGCAATTTTTTCGAAATACAGTGCAAAAAAATGAAATACAATGCAAAAAAATGAAATACAGTGCAAAAAAAAAGAAATACAGTGCAAAGTTCATCGACCATTTAGGCTTTCTGATTGGCCTAAAATATGAAAAAATAACAAAGATAGCCAATAAGATACCGCAATTTCCAGCAGAAATAATACAAAAACCCAACATTTAGGAGTTTTTAGGAGTGACTACATAATTTTTTCATGTATGTTATTAATAAGTAATAGTATGGTTTCTCGTGCAATTTGGAAAAACTTACACTCGTGAGTTTTTTCAAAGACTTCAAATTGCTCTCGTCCTTCGGACTCGCGCAAGTTTGATAGTCTTTGAAAAACTCACTCGTGCATATTTTTTTCCAAGTTGCACTCGAAACCATACTATTACCTATATACTAGCCCGAAATATTTTAACCCGAGTGTTCTTTAGAACGCTATAATATGGGGGACCGTAGCAGTATTCAGCAATAAACTGTCGTGTTTTGGGGCGGAACGTCCTGAAAAGATTAAAGCAAACCTTTACGTATCTTTCAGGTATCCGACCAAAACGCAAATATTTTATTAGACTCTGAGTATAGTAGCATTTTGTAGAGTAACTAATGTATTTTAACTAGTTAGTATATGACAGAAATTATTTCTACAGTGGCGGAAATTATTTTTTCCTGTCATGGGGAACAAAGGCTCACTCTGGAAACACCCTATAGTTATGAATTTTTTGGTTAATCTAACACTGTTTGAATGTTTCCTGTTAAATTTATACAGTTCTGGTTAATTTGATCATAGTCCTGGCTAATTTAACCATGGTATATATGGTTGAATTAACCAGATTATGTTAGTTTGACTATTAACCAAGAATTTAACCATTATGTTACCCCCAAACAGTGTTAATTTTACATTAGCCAGGAGATTTTTAACCAAGGGAGTCTTTAGAGTGCTACTGAATTTTCGACAAGCCCCTTTCACCCATTTATGCACTCAACGTACGTAAAGGTTGGGGGATAATTGCACCCCACCGAAATTTTCGCCACTGTATTTCTGTATAGAATGTATCTTGGAATAAATATTCATCTGTATGTTTTAATTTCTTTGACCGGCATACAGTGGTATAGGTAATCATGCGATGGGGAGTACAATTAGGGATTAATAGTACGAGTGATGTTTGGAAATTTTGCCAAAATCTTTTTGTAACCTTTTTGTGGAAACATTGTTCCCTAGCCATGTCTCCTGAAGGTGGGCAAACCAGGAAATAGCCTGCGTGGCTGGCCCTCAATTAAATCCTGCCCGCTGCAAATCAGGCCCCCATAAAATTGAAGGCCTGCCACGCAGGCTAACCAGGAAACGGTGTTTCTTAGCCATGTTTCCGAAGGTGGACAAACCAGGGAACATTGTTTCCTAGCCATGTTTCCCGAAGATGAGCAAACCAGGAAACATTATTTCCTAGTCATGTTTCTCGAAGGTGGACAAACCAGGAAACATTATTTCCTAGTCATGTTTCCTGAAGGTGGGCAAACCAGGAAACGTTGTTTCCTAGTCATGTTTCCCGAAGGTGGGCAAACCAGGAAACATTGTTTCCTAGCCATGCTTCTTGAAGGTGGAAAAATCAGGAAACATTGTTTCCTAGCCATGTTTCCTGAAGATGGGCAAACCAGGAAACATTGTTTCCTAGCCATGTTTCCCGAAGGTGGGCAAACCAGGAAACATTGTTTCCTAGCCATGTTTCCTGAATGTAAGCAAACCAGGGAACATTGTTTCCTAGCCATGTTTCCTGAAAGTGGGCAAACCAGCAAGCATTGTTTCCTAGCCATGTTTCCTGAATGTAAGCAAACAAGGGAACATTGTTTCCTAGCCATGTTTCCTGAAGGTGAGCAAACCAGGAAACATTGTTTCCTAGCCATGTTTCCTGAAGATGGGCAAACCAGGAAACATTGTTTCCTTGGCATGTTTCCTGAAGGTGAGCAAACCAGGAAACATTGTTTCCTAGCCATGTTTCCTGAAGATGGGCAAACCAGGAAACATTGTTTCCTTGGCATGTTTCCTGAAGGTGAGCAAACCAGGAAACATTGTTTCCTAGCCATGTTTCCTGAAGATGGGCAAACCAGGAAACATTGTTTCCTTGGCATGTTTCCTGAAGGTGAGAAAACCAAACCAGGAAACATTGTTTCCTAGCCATGTTTACTGAAGATGGGCAAACCAGGAAACATTGTTTCCTTGCCATGTTTCCTGAAGGTGAGCAAACCAGGAAACATTGTTTCCTTGCCATGTTTCCTGAAGGTGGGTAAACCAGGAAGCATTGTTTCCTAGCCATGTTTCCTGAAGGTGGGCAAACCAGGAAGCATTGTTTCCTAGTCATGTTTCCTGAGGGTGGGCAAACCAGATACAACAACAGTATTGGGTACTAACTGTTTTTAATCTAACAGTAAAATTCATTCACGCGGTATATTATATTGTGCCTTTCGAGTCATATATAATTAAAAAATGAGCTTTTGTTCCATGCCGTCGTCACGTCGTGTTTTCTCTTAGAAAACTTGCACTCCTTCATAAGAAAAGCATTTTTTCGACAATAGCACAGTATGGCGCAGGACGATTGGCACACAACGACAATACACACTTACAGCTAGGTTGCATATAAAATTTGTTGCACGTATGAATGCAACAGATCTAAGCATGGTATAAATTCGATTCAACATTAATAGGTCAAGAAGCTATACAGTATCAATATAGACTGTATTGTATTGAATCCTTTGTGAAAAACGTTTTACGTCAATTTTTATGTGTAATTTCAAAACGCTTTTGACTGTAGTCTATGTGTTCTGCATTAAAATTGCGATATAAATTCCTGCATAAATTGTGTATATACATTTCATTCAACAATAAAAAGTAAACATTCCAGCTTTTAAAATGCTGTCTGACATTAGCGATTTGCTATTCAGTATGGTGAACAATCCCTTTTAATGTTGCGTGTATATCTTTCATTTTGCTTAGTGAGTTATATACGTATATAATTTCTAGGTTTAACTTTGTGTGAAATCGGCAATTGGGTTCTGAATATTTTGACTTACAATTAACAATAACCCAGTTATAAGCCTGCTGTGATATACATTTTATATAATTACACCAAAACGCCGAACAAGGAAATGGTAAAGGATTATTTAAGGTACGATAATTCATTGCAACGCAGAGTAAAAAAAAGCGGTATCTTCTAGAAGTATATACAAAGACTACAGTTGTTTTATACTTTCGGCGTAACTTTACATCAAGGATTCAAGATGACTTTATCAAGAGGAATGGCTCAAGCTAGTTTCGTAATTGGCTTCGCGCTCTTGGGCTTGGCATTTGGGTGTGTTGCTTGTGGTGCTTTTGCGATGAGCAAACTTCATGCAGGCGTTTCCAGTACTGGATTATGGGCAATCTATGTAAGTCTAAAGGACCGTGTACGCTTGCAGTCTTTGCTGATTTTCTTCTTGTGGTGGATGTAAACGAGTGGATGGGTTACGGATGGGTTATGGATGTTCAAATGAGCGGGGTGCATATACTGGAAGAAGTTATTTCGCTCATGACCTCAGAATGACATTTCATCAAAACTTTTTTCTTCAAGATTGGTTTAGAAACAAACTCGGAGTAGGGTTAGGTTAGGGTTAGGATTAAGGTTAGAGTTGGTGTTTGGAATAGGGTTAGTAAAACCGTTGCTTTGTTACGTTTTGTCACTCTGAGGCCAGCGAAATAACTTCTTACGCATATACACTCAGAACATCCATATAATTCACTTGTTCACCTGCATCGGAAGTAGAAAATCACACCAGAAATCCCAGGAAAAATTGCAAGTGTGAATGATTAATATAATATAGTTTGTATTTCTTCATTTAAAGTGCAGTGACTAATTAGGGAGTCATGGAATTATCGTGATTATTAGCTACATGACTATAATAAAGCCTATAAAGGCACCATAGTTGTTGGAAACGTTTCTGCATGGGGATGACAGAAATCATTTTCAGCTTTTCATTCTTCAGACTTTCGTTTTCAAAGTTGCTTACAGCTTTAGTTAATAAGTATTGGTAAGATAGATTGCTGCGTTGCGCCGTGTGAAAATCATAGAACGACTCACTACTAAAAAGCCACATATACCGGAACCACGCATACTGATTTTGATATAGCATTGAACGGCATATTTTGAAAATACAAACACAAAATAAACAGTATTAGATCTAAACTGTCTCTTTTAAACTCGTACTACAAGGTGCAATTTGTTTAATTACAACAAAAAAAGATTTTGAAGATATCAGATTTTACATAATATGTCGTAATATTAGACTCGTGTTATGAACACGGAAATAATTCAACTCTGCTTAGGCAAGCCGAGCTCATATAAACACGCCCTAACAGGCCAATTTAAGAGGCCAGGGTGGTCACTGACCACTTTCTATCTCGACAATATGTATCCTTTGCCATCAATAACCAGAAATGGTAAAAATCCCTTCTATGGGGCTGATTACATGGGGAGGGAAATTTTCACCCGGGCTGAATTTCAACCCAGTTAACCGAACTGAAATTGATTCACGATTACATAGTGTTTTAAAATGAGTGATGACAGAACACTTTTTTATTCAGTTTGTCAAAGAAAGAAAAATATCAATCATTCCACAGAGTATATGCCTTGACATGTTTAATATCATAATTATACAAATGGTTTCCTGTGTATTGTACTATTGTCTATTGAATATTTTTCTACATTCCATATATTGAATTGTATAAGCATATATCTTTGAGCATGTACATAGTTTATATATCTATACTTTATAGTTCGTAGCTTATACTCATAGTCCTATAGCGCAAATATGTCTATATAATAATATTTATACATTTGTAATTGGTAGGCGAAGAGCCACCCTGTGGATGGACTACTAATAAAGCCATTATTATTATTATATAGTATCTACTTCCTGGTGTTATGCTTCTAGTTGCTGGATTTCGCAGATATTTTACTGTGGTAAGCTTCAGTGGAACCCCCCGGGAAAATTTTGAAACCTAGAATCCCTGACTGATGCGATTTCCAACATTTTGGGGTAACATATAAATTTCGAAGATTATAAAATACATGAAACACGTAATTTTTCATTACTATATCCTGTTCAACACTCGAAATAAATCTGGTATTTCCGCGTACCCATGTATTATTCTCTATTTAATACAAGAGTGAAGTTAGTATATATTCAAGAAATGCAAGTCAAGTTTTGAAAAGTGCGTTAAAACTCACGATTTGATGTGAAAGCAACATAATTTACAAGACAAGCTTACGAAGCTTTGCAAGCTTAAATATTCCCACTTATTTGCTGAGACTGAGTTCTGTTGCCTATATATCGTTCTCTGCCACAAACGCCTCCCCCCCCCCCC